CAAAAATACCTAGGGAGCTCATAGAAAGATTTATAAAGTTTACTTCGTTAAAATTTTCGTCTAGTTGTTTTACTAGTTCTTTATATTTGGCTTTTTTCCGATTAACGTTGTTCTCGAGGTTTGTCTCATAGCCAACAGTGAGCTCAACCACATAAAGAGAGCCATTTGATAACGATAGCAACAAATCCGGGCGATACGTATCACCAGTCATTATTGAAGGACTTTTGAATCCAGGCACATCAGCGTAGAGGGCAGAACCGTTCACAGTTTGCAAGGTATTGGCAAGGAAGTTCAGGATTGAATTGTGTCTCCACGTAAATCGATCGAGATAACACTGACATCCAGCGACCACGTGCAATAATGATTCTGAGCCAAGACAAAAGGAGCATTCTGAACTTGAAGACAATACCCATCTGCTAAGGTTCTTGCGTGTCGGAAGAGAGTTATTGATATAGCGTATGGTAAAGTTATAAATGTTTTTCGGAAGTTTTGATTGAGCAGTAGACCACACTTTGCTAAGATGCGACAAGGAGAACTTTGCTACACTAGAGAAAGAGGATCCCTGACAAGTTAATTGATTTTGGAGTTTATCTTCATGTTCAGACCGAAAGTCTTTAAGCACTTCTTTGGTTGAGTTATAAAAGTCGTATTGGATATTAGTATGAATATTAGTAGATTTCCACAGTTCGTTGATTGATCGATTTAAAGAAAGTTTTAAAGCTTTTCGAAGAACAGTTTGGCATTGGATAAATTTCACCGATAGGATAAATACTTTGACCAAATTTGTTGCGAGTTAGAAAAACAGTACTTAGTGTTCCTGAGATTGGAATTTCAAGCCATTTACGGATGTATTGGTTGACTACGGGATCAATATTTTCAATAACCCATGTTTTGGAAAGTGTTGCGATGGTGAAATGCCACGATATTTTGGATAAGACATAACGACTGTATACGAGAAGCTTATTTCTTGGGTGGAGTGGCTTCGAGTCAATATCAGTCATTAGTTCATTAACGAGAGTGGTTAGTTCAGTCTTATGGTTATTATTCGACATGTTAAAATCAAAGTAACGTCCTAAATATTGAAATGCTTCTCCACTCTTTATTGTCGGTATCAGATTACTGTTGACGAGGAGTTTCGACAAATATTGGACTGATTTTGTGATGGCTTTCTTGATGCCAAAGGTACTACATTTATCGACTCTGATAATCATATTGGACCGTTGGCACCAGATGGAAAAACGATTCAAGAGATGCTGGTTTTCAGATTCTTGGCCAGTGATTACGGCTATACGACATCAGCGAACTGGAATCAACACCTTGTTAAGCTGAGGTAAAGCGAACTTCGTGACGCTGCAGAAAAAGGATCCTTGACTGGTTAATAATAATAATAATAATAATAATAATAATAATAATAATAATAATAATAATAATAATAATAATAATAATAATAATAATAATAATAATAATAATAACAATAATAATAATAATAATAATAATAATAATAATAATATTAATAATAATAATGGAAACTTTATTACTTTCAATAATATATATACACACTACAATGATAACCTCTCTTTACAGGTAGTTTACCAGTGTCTACTTGAATTAACACTCTACATAATAACAATATTAGTATGACATTAGTTGTGGGTTATCCCATTCTTTGTTACGCTTACAGAATATATAATACGAGGACCTGATACATATGTTAATAATTTTCCGAACATAGTACTTTCTACATTGTTCATCAAACTTCAGATCCTCAGCATTTCGGTGAAATCTAGCGACGGGTGGCTGAAAACTCCTAATGAGCTAATCGATAAATTTACAAATTTCACTTTTTCATAATTTTTGAGCTGTTCGTTAATTAGATCTTGATATTTTTGTCTTTTTCGAGTTGCATTAGTGAGGAGATTAGATTCAAATCCGACGGTAAGTTCAAGTATATAAATACATTTGTTTTCAAGTGTTATCAAAAGATAAAATAATAAAATAATAATAATAATAATAATAATAATAATAATAAATAATAATAATAATAATAATAATAATAATAATAATAATAATAATAATAATAATAATAATAATAATAATAATAATAATAATAATAATAATAATAATAATAATAATTTAAATAAGATTTAAAATGGTAAGGCTGAACTACCTCAATGGATCACATATGGTAGGACAGTGTTGTGCTTAAAAGACCCATCAAGGGGTAATGCAGTTGATAACTTTCGACCCATATCTTGCTTACCATTGATGTGGAAATTGATGACAGGTGTAATTGCCGAAAGTATGTACACTTTTCTGGAGATGAATGATGTACTACCGAATGAACAAAAAGGATGTAGAAGAAAGACTAGAGGAACAAAAGACCAATTGTTAATTGATAAGTTAGTTTTAAGAGATCGTAAAAGAAGACATACAAATTTATCGATGGCCTGGATAGACTATCGCAAGGCATATGATATGGTACCTCATTCTTGGATAGTGGAATGTATGAGTATGTTCAAAATCGCAGCAAATGTGAGAACGTTTGTGGAAAGTAGTATGGAGAACTGGAAAACGGAGTTAACATCTTCGGGAGAAAGTCTTGGAAATGTAAATTTAAGACGAGGTATTTTTCAAGGAGATAGTTTATCTCCATTGATATTTGTGATGTGCATGATACCATTAAGCTTGATACTGAGAAAGGAAAAGGTAGGGTATGAATTTCGCGGAAAAGAACTCAAAATCAACCATCTTCTGTTCATGGATGATCTGAAGTTGTTTGGAAAGAACAAGGAGCAAATAGACTCACTGGTGAAAACTGTCCATATTGTTAGCAAAGACATTGGAATGGAATTTGGGATAATGAAATGTGGAATGCTTGTAATGAAAAGAGGAAAGATTGTGGAATGTAATGGAATACAGCTACCTGATGAGGAAACAATAAAGTCCGTAGAAGAAGATGGATATAAATATCTTGGTATACTGGAATTAGATAAAATTATGGAGGGTGAAATGAAGAGAAAGTTTGTAAAGGAATACGGGAGGAGATTAAGATTGGTGCTGAAATCAAAACTGAATGGCAGAAACAAAATCATGGCGATGAATACTTGGGCTGTTGCGCTGCTGAGGTACGGAGCTGGTGTTTTGAAATGGACAAAAGATGAAATTGCTGCAATGGATCGCAAAACACGTAAACTGATGACACTGTATGGTGCTCTTCACCCAAGAAGTGACATTCATCGATTATATTTACCGAGAGAAAAGGGCGGAAGAGGTTTGATCAGTTGTGAAGGATGCATTCGTACAGAGGAGAACAGTTTGGGATGGTATGTAAAGAACAGTGTGGAACCACTTTTACAACAAGTTGCAAAGACAGGTGTGATTGAAACGGAAAGATGCGAAAGAAAAGAAAATTTTAAGAAGAAAGCAGTAGAGGAGCTAGAGAAAGCTTGGATTGACAAGAAAATGTATGGACAATATAACAGAGATTTAGGTAAAGAAGTGGATAGGGAGAAGACATGGTGGTGGCTGAAGAAAGGAGACTTGAAACCTGAGACTGAAGCACTTCTTTGTGCTGCACAAGAACAAGCTCTAAGGACAAATTATGTAAAGTTTCACATAGATAGAACTGTCGAGTCTCCACTCTGTAGGCTTTGTGGGGAAAAGGGAGAGGATATAACACACTTGATAAGTGAATGCAAAAAGCTAGCACAAAAAGAATACAAACGAAGACATGACAATGTGGCTCGCATTGTACACTGGAAGCTATGTGGTTTGTACCAACTAGAGAAAGCTGAAAAATGGTATGAACACCAACCAAATGGAGTAATTGAATCAGATAATGTAAAGATTCTCTGGGATTTTTACATACAGTGCGATCATGTGATTGAATGTCGAAGACCTGATATTGTAGTGGTTTTAAGGAAGGAAAAGGAATGCAAGATCATAGACATCGCAGTTCCAGGGAACTGTAGAATTGGTATAAAAGAAACAGAGTAGGTAGAAAAGTATGAGGAGTTGAAAAGGGAAATTCGGAAAATATGGGCAATGAAAAAAGTAGAAGTCATTCCAATAGTAGTAGGTGCCTTAGGAGCAGTTAGTAATAAACTGGATAAGTGGATTGAGAAATTGGGAATACATATAAGAATAGAACTTCTACGAAAAACAGCATTGTTAGGGACGGCAAGAATACTGAGAAGAAGCTTGGAAAGCTAAAATCTTTGGGACCTGAGGCTACTGGTTGTAGCCAGCTTCCAAGGAAAAAACATAGCCAGCATAAGAACAAAGCTGTGAAAAACATGTAATAATAATAATAATAATAATAATAATAATAATAATAATAATAATAATAATAATAATAATAATAATAATAATAATAATAATAATAATAATAATAATAATAATAATAATAATAATAATAATAATAATAATAATAAACTTTATTTGATGAGGGTAAATATACATTTTTACCTATGAAGGTATTCTACCAAATGGCCCTCTAAAAATTAGATAACCTACAGTATTTACAATATATACAACGAAGCAAGACTATATAGTTGCATTTGACACAGCACATGGGACTATACAACTTATAGTACCAAATACGAAAATAACTGTATTACTAAGCATGCATAATGTTTTTTTTTTTAGTTTTGACAATATAA